CCCCCTCCCCGTTCCGCCGCGCCTGGTTACTTTCAGCAGTGTGCTTGCCGGTGCTTGCGTAGTTCATTCATAGGTGGCCGAAAAAAGGACAGTTGAGTGACGTCACTGACTCTCGAAAAATTGTAAATAAAAGTTTACGTCACCCAGTAAAGACAGTGGGAGTCTATGATTCCACCGCTCGGTTTCCATCCGTTCCACTCGGGTCAGTGCGCTTTCTAAACTAAGCGCGTAATAGTTCTAACAAGTTCATTCGAAGTAACGTACCATGAGTTTCTCTCCAACCCCGGGAAGGTCAACGATGACTGGAATTCCTGCTGCCTTTAGCTGGTCAGCTGGACCAACTCCCGACAGCATCAGAAGGTGAGGGGAAAAAATGGCGCCAGCGCTCAACACAACCTAAAATCATTTTTGCAATGGGATAATTTACTGGATAGTGACTTTTCAAAGAACAGGACTCATGATTAATGCGGAGCTGATCAGCATGCTGCTTGTCCTGTAATGCCTCCTAAACACAGTGTGAGCCTTAGATAATTTTAGGCCAGCTGATGTGTCTGCGCTGGCCTAGGTTCATTAAATGTTCGGATCTGAGTCCTCAAATTGGCTTTGAAGCACAAGCCAAAGGTTACTTACTCATAGAATTTTCGGTACCGTAGTGAGTAACCAAACCACACCGTACCCTAGGCTCTGCTTGAAACAAGGCGTACAATGTACGCTCTCTATCTCACAGAGCGATATTGAGAGGGTAACGGTACCGAATCGCTACGCTCACTAAAAAGTTCCGAGTCGAATGCAGTGCTAAAATCGCACTTCACGAGTGCGAAAGCTCCAAATCGCACCAGCGAAAAGTACTCTTTCGCTCCTCCGAGTGCGATAGTTGATCATTAGGTGCGAAGTCACTGAGCATTCGCACTTGTAGGTGCGAAATTTTTTACTCGCACGAGCTGCGAAATCTCTTGCTCCTCATTGGTCCAATTAGTCGGGTTGGTGCGTCTTATTTAAGACATTGATAATGCCCCAAGTGTATTTCTCTGATTTTTAGAGCTGAACATATTAAAAATTGTACTTCTTCGAAAAAACTGGAAGTCGCCTAATCTTCCAATATCTCTGTCTACATGGTAATTCAACATGCAACTTGTTTTCACAACAGTACTAAACATTTTGAAGATAAAAAACGTGCCGCGACCTCAGTTACGTTTAATTAAAGACTTATTACACCTTAAAAGAACCGCAATGAACTAACTTAGAATTAAATAGAGAGCTTTTTCTTAATTTAAGTCACATTTTGATTTTAAACTCAAAATAGCTGATATTTGAAGCTCTTTTCCAGTTTCAGTCCTGTATCACCTTAAGTTGGAAGGCGTGAGACGTAAACAGATACCGCACTTCGCACTTCGCCGAGTAAGATCGCACTTTATGACATTTTCGCACTTTGATCCCCATTCACACTGAGGAGTGCGAATGACAGATTCTTTCGCACTGGTGCGATAGTGCGAAATAAGCACCGCTAGGAGTGATCTGTTTTCGCACTGCAACAGTGTGAAAATCGCACTGATTGGTGCGATTATTGTGACCTGGAACCTTTTAGTGAGCGCTTTTCGATTGTAGGACTTCTGCGATTTTACTACGACATTGCTATGTTCTGCTTATGGCACAGCAAACATTTTCCCGTGAAGTCCTCGGTTGATTTCGGGAAAGTACTTCCCAGTTTCCTTTTCTCGCCTTACATTTTTAGGTTGAGTAGGAACTTTTACGGAAAGAACGCGTATTTTAGGGAATTTTTGAGGCAAATCGGTTAAAAATTTACAAATCTGAGGCTAGCTTCATTTCTACCTGCATGGCTCACAAACCATCGAAAATACCAAATTAGCAAAACACGAATCTTCGTCGACTTGTGCTCTGCGCATGCGCCAGAGACAACCGGGATTTTTTTCGGAAACAAACCGGAAACTTCACTGGAAAAAGTTTGCTGTGGGGTGGGGGTGGGGTGGGGTGGGGTAGTGGGGTAGTAAAAAAGTAAACACTGCTGCGTGTTCCTTGAAGATCAAAGTACAAATGGCAATTTTTACTTTTGTTCAACCGTTAATATTAGCAAACCTACAATGAAAAGAAGACAGCGCTGCAGAGAGCGCCGAAAAACAGATAGGCTAGTCTTTCGGGGCAGCGAAACAGATAGGCTAGTCTTTCGGGGCAGCGAAACAGATAGGATATTGTTGCACGGACGCGTCGTAAAATCTTATGAACTTTTCTGTTCATAGTTACTGATTTCTGTAACTATGCTCGGCTTATTTTTTAACACGCCAGTATGTACAAATTTCTTCATACTGGTGCATTAAAAAATGCGTAAGCCGAGCACGTTTACAGAAATCAGTAACTATGAACAAAAATGTTCATAAGATTTTAGTGTGTATATTAACGTTTCTCCCTTTATAGCAAAACGTAAAGTTATGATGTTATAACGGTAACGTTAATAAATTTAGCGGATAAACGTCGGAATTTTCGTTATTTTTTAACGGTATAGACGATGACAATAATCGTAACCAAACTAATTTTTTACTCAAATTAACGTTGTTCTTTCAACCACAGAATTTTTGTTGTAGAATTATCAACTAGTGCAAAAAGAATTAACGTTAACAAAGCATTCCGGTAAAGCTAAAAAGCAGAAGAATGCGAGGAAGAAGAAAACGGAAATCACTATGCTTTTGCATGGGACTTCCGTTTTCGTGTTCCCTGCTTTCGTCTGCATTTCAGCTTTATCGGAATGCTTTATTAGCGCTCATACGCGGCAATTCTCGAATCGGCATAAGTAGCGAAATACACTACAGACGGCGTGAGGGGTAAAGTTTAATGGTGTGTTCAGTGGCCAGCTCGAACAAAGCCATATCTCTCGATCTATCGAGTTAATACCGAACCGGGGTTTGGCCTGGTACACCAATCGTCCCGAAGGTTACGCGGGAGCCCGCTGAATGGTAAAGCTCTGTCATGCGTTGACGATGTTCGACCGGCTGGGTCTGAGTACGTCTTGAGCCTCTCGGACTAAAACCTCCAGATTCTTATATCCGTCGAACGCAGATGTGCAGACGTGGTCCCGAGCACGCGTTTGGTTGGATTCACATCAAACGTTACTTAGGTATAAGAAAATGTTATAAGAGATAACGTTGTTTAAAAAGCTTTTACAAAAAGTTACAAGACATAACGTGTTTTTTTTTTTTTTTTTAGTTTTTGTTACTCCATCTCACGTTAAATAATTTATAGTTTATTTCCGAAATATCTTTTTTAACGTTAACTCGAAAATCGTTCGAATTTTCAGATAAATATTTCAACTCACCGAAAAGAAATGAGTAATTTCCGTTTGTTTCTGAATTTTCATCAATGATAAGTTATGTTCGTCCTATGTCCTATGTACTAAAAGAGAAAGGGCACCTAGTGGCAAGTGACAGGCGCACCTAGTGACACTCCTCAGCCCTGGCCACCCTATTGAATTGTCACTAAAACTTCGACTGGCATAACGCAGTTTCAGACCTCGAGAAACATTTGCCTAGAAGGCGGTGGTGTTTGGCAAATTGTAATGGCATGTAAAGGTTAATCTTAGGAGCCCCCATGTCTCACTGATAAACGAAGTGTTCAACTGCTCAACACTTCTAAGTGTGCAACGGCAAGTTAAATACTTGCAAGTGTGCAACTGCAAGTTTAATATTTGCAAGTGTGCAACTCGGTAGGTGTGCACTTGCAAGTGTGCAACTCCTCGGTTGAGCACTTCCCACACAGTAAGCGTCCAATCTAAGGAAGTGTTCAACCGAGGAGTTGCACACTTGCAGGTGCACACCTACCCAGTTTAACACTTGCAAGTGCACGACTACGGAGTTGCACACTTGCAAGTATTCAACTTGCAGTTGCACACTTACAAGTGTTGAGCAGTTAAACACTTAGTTTATCAGTGTAAAGTCTTATGCGTATATGTGCCATATACGTGCAAAATACTGGCTGGATCCGGGGATATACGGGAAATATATGCACAAAGTAGACATATACTGATAACGTATGACCCAATGACCCACATACATTCCGTTTTTACGGGTGGCTCTTAACCTATCGAACCACCAACTCCATTACCTCGCCTAAGGTCGGAAGTAACTATTTTGGGTTTCGCGCACAACATTTAACCGAAAATAAGCCAAATAAGCTTGAAATCCAAAAATTGCCCCTTGGTGCCGCATTCTCTCGTACTAAAAGTCGTAGAGAACCTAAAATCAAGAAATGTTAGGAGTACCCTCTCAAAATGACATCCTGAACCTCAATCCCCCGACGTGCTGTATTTAACAGTTCAGGAGGCTGGGTGCTGATTAAACGATTAGGGGCATAGCAAAAGTTAGTGTGACTCCCGTTAGAGAAACGAATTCAACTAGACTCACCTCTTTCTTGGCCTTGACAACATGAGTCTTTCCGTCTGTGTCTGTAAACTCGACTGCTGTTGCTCGTTTACTCCTCTGATCAATAACCACTCTTCGAGCGGTAGCACCCGTGAGAACCTTTAAGTTACTTCTAAGCGCGCGTTGTTGTGAAAGGTAGGCTCTGTTGGTACTGAAGCGCTTGGACCCTTTCATGACATTTTGAGCAAACATAAACCCTTCCGACGCATCTCCGTTTAAGTCTACTTCTTTCATGCCAGCTTCCTGCAAATGGAAATAAACAAGCAAATAAGTGTAACATGCATACTTTAACCACACGCGAATGTGGGTTTCAAGCAGGGGTTCGTAGTAAACCCGTCGTCTTTGAGTTTGCCCAGTTGACAAAGGGATGTAACGGTGAAGCACCGCGACTACAACCCACCCTTCTGCTTAGAAAACGTTTTTGGGGGGTCTTTTGGGGGTCTGCCGTTTTTAAACCCTTTAACTGATTTTGATGTTCTTTGCATGGTAAGTTCGTCTTAAACGCTGATTAACCATGCCAAGTTCCCCGTTTGTAACTCTAATAATTAAGGAGTTAAAGCCATTCAAAGTGTAGGTCAATTTTAGACTTTTCCCACAAATCACTAAATTTGCAGTTGGAGGCAAAACATCGACCCCTTTGGCTCTTAAAAAAAAGTCCAAACTTAGTCTTAAATTGAAAATCAGAAATATTTTTAAATTTCAAGGTTTTGCTCACGATTTGCTGAAGCAGGACCCCACGATACCGCAGCACCGTGAATATGTCATGTCATGCTCAAATGCGGAGAATGGCTATGTCTCCTAAAGTATTGCAGCAACAGCGTGCAGCTACAGCAGGGGAAACTTGGCATGGATAAACCAGAGTTTAAAACGAACTTACCATGCAAAGAACATCAAAATCAGCCAAAGGGTCACAAAACGGCAGCGTTTAATTTCTTAAACAAATCATAGAACGTTTTGCAGCTTTGTCAATGCTAAATGTAAATAATGAAGTAAAGAATCACGGGAGACTTATCAAAAATCCTATTTTGATAATACTACGTGACTTCAGCCGGCAAACCCCCCTTCCCCTCCCAAGGTGTAATCTACATTACACCTTAACCCCCCGCCCCCGTCCCCCCTCGTGACCGATCGTAGTATTTTGCTGAACCTCTCCCCCTCCCCCCCGTCCTAAAATTGGTCACGTAGTATAGGTACGATCCCTAACCTACGTCTCTTTGTGAAACCATAAGTGCATGATGAAACCAGTCGACACGCGAACCATACCTTAAAAGCAGCACGTATCAGTTTTGATGTGTTGTCTAGATAGGGCATCCGTTGCACGGGGAGCAGACCGCCCGTCCCGTGGTTTCTGGCATCTTTAGCGATGTCTGGGTTCAGGTTGTTTTCTGACTTCTTGTAGTAGCGCAGCGCTTCCTCAGCCGTCCAACCAGTCGCCCCCGCCTCCTCCCAGCACTTCCAGTCAGCCTTGGAGCCACGGATGTACACCATTCCGTTGTTCACGCTCTGTCCACCGAGCATCTTTGCTCTGTCCAAACGGAAAATCGCGTTAAAAAAGAGCGGCAGTATTTAGGCAGATTATTCCTTATAGAACACCTAAACTAAACATTCAGTACACATGAGTAACGTTATGATGTCAGATAGCTTCAACTATTTGACACAAAATCCTCGTGGTTGAGCACGGAGTGGTTAAGCTCACCCTCATCGCTTTTGGGTACATAGTTACACCTACTAGCTATATGTACGCCAGACCACGTCTCGCGTAACAGGCTTCGCGATATATCACGAAACACTGTTACGCTGCGACGCGCCTGGCGCACATATAGCTAGGCCTGCGGCGCTGACACCCGAGACGAGTTAAGGAGAGGGTATAGGAAAACAGGGCCTTCCGGGCCCAAAATTTCACATACTCGAACCATTTGTCGGGGTCTTATTACTCTCAAATTTGGAAAATGAAACTTCTGCTGTCGGTGACGGTTTTCATTGAAAGTTCGAATTTTGACAGATTGTTATGTAAAAATCAACGTTTTTGTGATACTAGATAATCTTGGGGCCCTTAAGGCCAAAAAAGGGTGCAGTTCGACCCGTAATATGTGGTTTAAGTATTACTCTCTTTACAATTCTGTGACGTAAAGCCTTTTTATAACGATTAAATAGACCATTTTGTCTTTTTCACGTTGTTTTCGCCAAGAAATGCCCCATAGCGCCGAAACGGTACAAGATAGAGCAAAACGGACGAAATTTTCGCCCATGGGGTTCTACTTTCACGAGTTACCCCATAGGAGACCATAAAAAATATTTGGAAAAAAAGAAGTATTTTATTACCTGTGGCTTTTGATTTTTAAAAAAGACAATTTTTGAGCTAGAGTGCTCATCTTCGAACTCGATCTGTCTTTTTATGATACAAAACGACCCTGAAAATCCCAGGTCGCTCTCTCAATTCTTGCTCGAATTATCGTGCGGACAGACAGACAGACAAACAGACAAACAGACAAACATACAAACAGAATGAAACTTTTCCGGTCAGTGGAGTAATGGGCTTCGCTAATCGCTCAGCCAATTATGTGGCCCTCTGCGGCCAACGACCGTAGTGCATGTGCAACGTACAGTTGCTCCTTTAACTAAAAGATTTGATCTACAGGCTGTTACATTTAAAGTAGGATACTTGAATACGGACAAGTATTTGCTACGAATACGGACAAGTATTTGGCTCTGTATCTAGACTAGCACAGGTGGCAAGACTCGAGAACGCGCGTCGGAACAGCTAGCCTCCCGCAGCGAAGGCCTGCAGTTTAAACTTACGTGAAAGTCCCGTCCTGAATGGATCACCCTTCTTTCCCTGGAGATAATAACTGCACAGCTAAATATTCACCCCAATACACGGAAAAAAATAGCTGTCACAACTAATAAATTGGGTGATTTAGGGATAGATAATAGATTTTGCTGTGGCAGCTAATAGTTGTTTGCCACAGACTATCGTTAGTTGCCACTGTAAAAAATATCGTCGTAAATTTACAAAAAAATTGTAAACTGGAATTATAATTTAAGTTGTAAATTTACGAGAGCACATTTGTAACTCGCCAATAGATTTGGAGTCAATACGTACTAAATGTATTTTTACGATTCCAGATTGTAATTTTACTACTTGCGTCAAAGAAAATTTTCCTGTAAACCTACCTATTATTTTTCACAGTGCGCCATAGCCAAGCTGTCGCTGCAGGAGCCATTCGGTTCGTTCGTTCGTTCTGACAGCTAAACACCAAATTAGCCGTTGAACGAACCGATTGGCTTCTGCAGCGACAGCTTGGCTGTGGCAACTAACGCTACTCTGTGGCAACCAACTGTTAGCTGCCACAGCAAAATTTATTGTCTATCCCTAAAGTACCCAATTTATAAGTTGTGACAGCAATTTCTTTTTCCATGTACTGCCCTACTCAAACTAATTCACACCAATTCAGTTTAATTGAACACAATTCACATATTATTCAAGTTACTTCAATACCAATTCAATAAATTCAAGCCAATTCATTAAATTTGTATACCCAATTAGGAAGTTATTTACCACTTGCGGCATTACAACGGGGCACTTGGAAGTATACATTTGTCACACCCTGTGTCCTGAGGGGGTAAAGGTAGGGGGCGGCACCAAGGCCGATGGCGAGTACATACCCTAGGTAGCCACCAACACCAACCGGGTCGTGCTCACCTTCCGCGCGGCCCGCGCCCGGCGGCCTCGAGAACATGGTACCCGTGAAGCGCGCGAAAACGGACAAGAAACTTTGGCAACGATCCGCCCATGGTTCCGCTTGTCGCATAGGGGTCTGTAGGTGCTCGTTGCTATCAGAAGGACCTCTACTTTCATTTGAGAGGCGATCTACCATGTCGATTTTTTTTTGGGACACCCTATTTGTCACACAATGCACATTTTATGCAGCTCTGCTACCTGTATACCTCAATACAACTAAAAACGCCCTCGAGCAACACTCACCTATTTAAATCTCCAGACTTTTCGTTTGGCGTATCCTGAACTGTAATGGCCCACTCATAATTTGGATTGTCCTTGTAGATGGACCCGAAAGCTGGTACCATGGTACCTCTAGGCTCCTCTGGTCCTGCTTCTAGCAGCAAAATCTATAAGTGCACAACACAGATGAAATAACGCAACAACCTAGTAGAAAACGAAGGATGTCTGCATTCGGTGTAACTTCTTTTGGTGCAAGATTTTATCCTGCAAGATGCGCGCGATGCATCTTACACTGGACAAATATTGCCCCTTTACATTTAAAGTGTAAAGGTATCATATGTGAAAGCAAGTTCCGCTGTTCTGCACTGAGGACCACCTTGTAAGTTTTCGTATACTAATTTTAGTTTGAAGGGTAGCAAGTAACGTTAGTAATGTGGTTGTAATGTTTCAAAAATGCTAAATACAAGTTCAGTACAATACCTGCCACTTCGAAACTTCAGATAGCCTACTGGCCACAACAGCACCCGCAGTGCCACCACCAACGACGATGAAGTCAGCTTCACTGATTATTGACTTATCGACTTTTGGGGCTGGATCCACCGGCAGGGATGCAATCACGCTTTCCGACCAAGCTGTCGCGTTGATACAATCTTGGTCTGCAAGCAAAATTTATGGAAAGTGGCGTAAAAAGTAGTGTTGCTAGCAGCAACAGCAGCTGTCCTGCAAGCCACTGATATGCAACACATGTGACGTCACATAGATTAAAATGCAAAATCTGTCACATTTCTTTAATCGTGCTATGACATTCGTTTCAAAGTGACTCAGCCGGGCAAAGCTTATCAAATTCTAAAGTTTAACTAAAAATGATCTGACAGTAGCATCCGAAAGAATTCGATTTAGATAAAAGTGAGGGTGCACTAAGATCATTAGTTCGCCAGAACTTGGATGAAAGTCAGTATTATGGGGGAGGTGTTTAAAAATTCAAGTCCAAGGGAATTGTTTGCCATTTTGTCCATTTTTATTGAAACGTGAAGAGACTGTTGGACGTGGAGAGTTGCATGATGCCAATGCGACAGAATTTATACTCATAACTTATACCTAAAAGCTTTAGTCTTTGAGAGCATGGCAAGCCGTGGCTTAGATTACAGTTTTCACACTTCTCCAAAAATTCCTTTTTGCTCGGCGTGGTCCTCACTGTAAAAAATATGAAGAAAATTCTGAACCTATTGGTTCTTGAACTTTCCAGTCACCACGGGGTATTTTAAATCCCAACCCACTAGACTAGGCAATGCTAATCCTCGATCCAACTCGAGGTTTTCAAGTCCATTTGGAATTGTAGAATTGGAATTGTGATGTTGAAAATTCCATTCTAACTACAGAAAATTAGAAGTTGGCTTCAGTTTTCTAATTTACTAAGCCACAACTTGAACTCCTGTGGTACATGGAACTGGAATTTTCCAGTTTAGGCCGCTGATTCGGTATCACACCCACAGGGCGGAATATCCGGACCCATAAACTATAAATGTAATTCCTAGTGCCAAAACTTGAATTTTAGACGTTCTACTGGGGCAACGCTTACATTAAGTGGGTCGTCAGCCACTCGCTCGTCAAGGAGCGCTGTGTAGCTTGGGGGTACAGAGCAGGACCGGGAACTAATAGGCCTATGTCCAACTCCACCTTGGGGCATTTTTTTTTATCAGTCTGAAGTGGTCGACATGAGATTAGATGCAATCCCAATGCCACAACTTAAATTTTCAAGTTGTGGGTTTCGAAACAGAAATCCCGATGCCACAACTTGAATTTTACTAGTTGGGTGCTATATTTCCGATTACCAGCCCACTGGGTTCAGGAAAACCCGATTAAATTGATTACGAAAATTCACCTTCCATGGCTTAGCAATGTCCCCACTCCTCGACTGAGAATCGAGCGTTTCACAGCCCAAAACTGAGATTTTCTTATTTTTTTTTACAGTTTAACAAGGGGACCGAGTGTCGTCTCGTGCGAGGCTACGTACCGCCTGTTTTTAGCCCGCCCTTCTTCTTTTAAAAAAGCATTAAAGCGGGCTTATGCAACCGCTCTCGTGTCTGTCTGTCCGTCCGTCCGTCCGTCGTCCGTGTAAAAGGAAGGAGATGAGCTAGAGGTCTACAAATTTCAGGGTATCTTAGGGGTCACT